ATCAGTAAATGATTTGTTCCTGCACTGATTAGCCGCTTTGATGGCAAAACAGCCAGAAAATCACCCAAAAAAAGCGAGTACCGAAAACAACTAGCTAATCCACTTGCTGACCAAGACTTTGGCCCACTTGATTGTGTGGGCGTGGCGGGGTCAACGCAGAAATTCAATCATAAATTTCTCCCTTGCCCGAACGAAAATGTAATAAAAAATCCAATAAATTCACAATCTAATTGCAGAGCAACGTAATTCGATTTCGAAATCTGGAGCTCCAATATTTGACAGAAACATATGCACAAACTATTTGTGCAACGGTCAATTTGCTGAATAAACATGGCCAGAGCCGAGTTGGCCTAATCCGCTCGGCGAACCCTTTTAGCCGGCTCCTTGAAGCTGTCACTCGCAATCAAACGAGTGCCAATGATGCGAATTGAAGTGGAAAAGTCCTGACAGCCAATTTGCAACATGCTCTCCGCTCACACATGTAAATAAAATGTAAAAAGTGTAGAAAAATCACGCAACAACAATAGGGGGCGGGGGGGGAATCCTTTTTGATGTGCAGGAAGCCTCAACATGTCTGTTCTTTTTGCGCCTTTCAACTCAATTGAACACAAGAGACATCATCGCCGTTGGCTTTCATGTTTGCTCAGAAATGCGAGTGTGCTGTGGCTGTGTGGCTGTGTGGGTGAGTAAATTAACACTCAGCCCGGGTATCCTTCACACCCACTCACACCCACACATCCACACAACAAGGACAAGTGCTTTAATGCTTCATTTGACATGTTTATTCACAGCCAGCTGGCCTTTTGTGGGCCTGGCCAATCCCCGAAATGGGTTTACTTTAATCCTTTTCTCTCCATGCAGTTATCCTTGCTCCCTGATTGTGCTTCTTTGTCCTCAGCCACCGTGCTCATCAGTCATTGATTGGCTTTGATTGTCTGTGCAAAGAGCCGTGGCGTTCAGTATTTTCCTTCTCTTGCTTTTTTTGAATTTTCCGTCAAGCCTTTGTTTTTGCTGCTTTTAATTTATGACCGTAATTGGCATAATTTATGGACGGCGCAAAAAAAAAGAAGAGAATGAACTCAACTTGCACGCATTATGCCAATTTGCATTGATGCATTGAAATGTTTGCTCTGCCTGCAACTCTTTGTAATTTATTTACAATTTTTTTTTGACTTGTCAGACGGAAGTTGTGGACATTTTAAAGCGTAACAATAAACGAACAATATGCAAGAGGAAAGGGATATTTAAATTGCCGTTCGAATGGGCTTTAAAGAGCGAATGCCAAGCTGACTGGCCAAATAATCCAACTTAATGAAAAGAAATAGCCGGCGAACCCTCGAATGTAAACAAATCTCGCTCGGATTTCTTGGCCGTCTGCCCGCCCACATAATTTTACCCCTCGCTGAAATTTCTATTTGCGTTTGTGCACAAGGCGTTGCCATTTAATTGCACAGACAGAAAAGGGAGCTGCGCCTGGGGAGCGGCACTAAAATCGCTTAATGTCAGCAAATTAACTTAAAACGCATAAAGCGAGCATTATTCTGTAATTATTTATTGTCCATCTATGGGGGACTGGGTTCAGTTCAGCTCATCTCAACTTTTATTTGACTTTCCCACATTGAGATCATAGAAATGGGCAGCTGAAGATGTAGCTTTACTGGGATTTGAGGGTTGGTTGTCCCGGTCTAAAGTCAGTTTTGTGGTTTAAGTTGTAATAGTATTAAATATTAGGCAACTGTCAATGACATTTAATTTGAAATGATGAATTCTGAATATATTTTAACAAGAATCTTTTTGTCAAACCAAACTATTCAGCTTGTGAAAATATTTTTGATTACTTATTTATCATTTTAACTTTAAATAGGGATTTTATTTCACATTATTTAATGTTTTGTTAATGATTTCTATGATTACAATTTAATTTGGAATTTACCAGCTTATGTATAATATATTAAACGAATCATTTCTTGGTAGTATGTACATCCGATGGGTTATTAATATTTCAAACGAAATATTTTTTACAAATGTTAAGATTTACTGATATAACTTAGTAAAAAAAAGAATTAAGGGCTTGTTTAAAAAATGTGTGGTTTTCTTAAATAGAAAACAAATAAATGCCCCTTTTAAAAGATTTGTTTTTTTTCCATTGATTTAATTTGCTTGATTGAATGTTAATCTAGAATTTTCCATCTCAAGTAGCAAAGGATACAAATTAAAATGTTCTTTTTCAAGTAAATTGTAGAGGTCACATAAAAACGGATTTCAAGTGCCTTCTTCTACTTTTGCTTTGCAGGTATTACTACGACAAGAACATAATGACCAAGGTGCACGGCAAGCGGTATGCGTACAAATTCGACTTCCAAGGCTTGGCCGCTGCCACTCAGCCGGCGGCCAGTGATCCCACCTACAAGTACCAGAGCGACTTGTTCATGACACCATATCATCACAGCGCCAAGCTCAGCTCGTTCATGAGTCCGCACCACGGAATGACCTCATCATCGGGTAAGCAAACTCATGGGAACTCCATTTAGGGGGCTCGAGGCTCTATAACTCATTCTTATTGCTGCGATAAATGAGAAACAGTTTATAATTATTTATTTAAACCCAAATTATTCCAAATTCTTAGTTGATTAGATTTCAAATACTTATATGCAATAAATTATTTGACGAAGCTTTAATTAAGCAACTTGAAATTAATATGGAACAATAGCCCACACACATCCATTTGTGTGAAATGTATCTTTAGGAATATTTCGCTTTCATTGACTAACTTAAAGTTAATATGAAACAAAAGAAAACTTGTTTTTTCTAAAAGTATATTTTTATTGTTAGAAATTTAATCAATTTTATCAGAAATATTAAAAAAAGAGAAATTGACAAATGACAAAAACCAAAAAAAATAATCTAGATCATTAGATATCGAACTAGGGAGTTTTGAGTAATAGATTACGTCTGCAAACCTTTAGTAAGTCGAACCTCTATTTCTTACAGCTTCGATCTTCCCGTCGGCCGCCTCGTGGGGCAACTGGGGCAGTCCGGCCACGAACCTCTACCAGCCGCACTCGATGAGCCACGTGACCCCCTCCCACGTGGCGCCCCACCTCAGCAGCTATCCCCACTACGCATGACCATCATCGTCCGGTGGCGCCTTCTAATATGAGAGCAACGCCATCGCCAGTGCCTCGGGCATTGGCGGCGGCACGGCCTCGACGGGCGTGGGCATCGGAGGAGTGGGTGGTGGTGGCAGCGGTGTCTCCGGTGTCACCACCGGCGTGGGCTCCACCTCGAGCAGCACCACCAGCAGCGGAGCGGGCGGAGGCGGCGGTGCCGGTGGGGGCGGGACTGTCATGAGCGGCTTCGGCAGCAACGGTAACCTGAACGGATCACATGTGTCCAGCAGCGGTGGGTCGTCCAGTGTGAGCAACAACCTCAACATAGCCACGGCCACCTTGACGGCGACTCCGGCTCATGCCAGCGCCGGATTCGGCTCCATCGGCGGACTCAGTGTGGCCGGAATGGGCGTGGGCGTGGGGGTCGGAGTGGGCGTGGGGGGTGGCAACTCGACGCTCAATTCGCTAGTCGTGGGCAACCGGCTGATGAACAGCAGCCTGCCCACGCTGCTCAAATGATGCCACTTGGAGAAGTTCGGGCTGACGATGGGCGCGGGTCCCTCGCCGCCGGCTGCCACGCCCGCCGGCGAAAGTATGCCGACGTACCACCATCCTGGCCACCCCGGCCATCCCGCCCACTCCGGACTTCCAGGACACGCCGGCAACTACGGGGCCAACGAGCGGGCCCTGTACGATTATCTGGACATGAAGAGCGGCGAACAGGCCACGTTTTTACTGTAAATGCGATGGCAAACCTTGAAACCAGAACCACCAGAAAAGATCCAAACAAAAAACAAGAATCTAAACGAAACGCAGGCAGCATAAGTATTTGCAGCGTATTTTATTCATAGTTATTTAGCGAAAGGAAACCCTTAAACCCGTAAACCCTACCCAGAAAAAAAGGAAAACGAAAAAACAACCCCCAGCTAAATATTTTACGTGTGTGCGAGTGAGTGAGTGAATGAGTCGTTGTTGCTTTAGGGTTAAGGAACTAACTTTCCACTAATATACGATTAAGAACCGGAACCGATATAGTTGGCATTCGAAGCTAAACAAAACTCTAAGTGTTTTTAGTGTACCAAGGACTAACTCTTTCCTTAAATTAAAAGCAGAACTTTTCCAGGCTAAGACTTCGAATAGCTCTAGAATTCTCCAATTGTTGTTAGCATTTTGTGTGTGAAGCATTTGTAAATAGCAAAATAACAATATCATCCTCCAAATAACGTTCAGCACAACAGTGAATGTCTTGGTATAAACGTTTGCCACATTTTCACTTCAATTTACGATTTGTAAATAAATATTTGCCTAAGTGTAAAAATGTTTAGCAAGTAAAGTGGTTTGTTTTTGTTTTAATTGATTTTTGCATTAAATTACTTCTTATGTTCGAGAACTTTCATTTATCGCTTATCGTTTTGAGATGGTTGACTGTGATAGTTGATTGTACAGTTAAAACTCTTATATATTTTTTAAATACCAAATTACAAACGAATAAATATTGAAATAAATTACGAGTACATATTAATCCCAAGTCTAGACATACTATATATTTGTGTGTAAAAAAAACTTTCTAACTCATAAGTCAAAGTTTAACTATAATAATACGGGCAAATATATATATATATAAATTTAAATGTGTGTAACTAAGTGTATTTACCAAATTGAAATACGACAAAAGCGAACTAATCGCTAACGATCTAAGTGTATACAATTTTAAATTCTGAATGTAAACTCTACGAAGCGAAAACCAATATAAATCGATCATCAGCGATGCCCACACACCGAAACCCTCTAAGAATTTAGTTAATTTAAGGCAAGAACTTTCAACAAAAATAAAACCCAATTCAAAACAGACTCTATTCTTATCTGTTAAACGTTGACTTTATTTGGAAATTAACAAAAATTTGTATGTACAGCAAGGGGGGAAAGAGGTGGCTACTCTAGACTTGGACTAATCCTCTGAAGAATCACCAATCACTGCTCCTGATTGAACCACTTGAACTCGTAGTGCTTCAGGGAATTCTCCTCGGGCAGCGCCTCCTTGGCGTCCAGTTTCCGCCAGCTGATGTGGGGCTGGAATCCAAACTCGTTCGCAATGTATTCGATGGTCCGCTGCACTGCATCCTCGCCGATGGCGAAGTAGCTGCCCTGTTTGTCCCCATTGCGACCGCCCGTCTCTTCGTGTCCATTGTAGTCCAGGATGTACTTGAACTTGTACAGGTCTCCCGTAGCGCCAGCTGCACTTCCGCTTCCCAAGCCCACTGCTCCGCCACGAGTTGGAGATCCTCCAAGTCCAGATGCTTTACTTCCACCAGCCGGGACTCCTCCAAATCCAGATCCAGGAGATCTGCCGCCAGTCGAACCGCCACCCGAACCGCCAGCCAAACCAGACGGACCTCCAGTCGATCCTCCAGCAGTAGCTCCAGCAGAACCTCCAGGCGAACCTCCAGATGAAGGTGCCTTGCTTCCGCCAGAAATTCCTACGCCAAAAGCTCCTCCAGCTTGCGGCTTTCCGGAAAGACTTCCACCAGGCGCCTTTCCTGCGGGGAAACCTCCACTGGTTGCTAAATTTATTAAAAAATATATTAATAATTCATTTCATTTTTCGTTTCCGCCCAAAGCACTTACAGGGTGGACTTCCGGTTGGTGAGTTTGCTGCTAATCCAGAAATTCCAGCTGTGGTTGCTGAATCTGATTAAATCCAAAAGGGAAATTTAGTAATGAATCAAACCATCATGAAATACTTGTGTAGAAAACATGTAAAACAGCATAGTGCAAAGGGTTACCGCTAGCTGGCGCTTTTTAATCTAACAATTTCGAAAAAAAATTTCACATAAATTATGGACTTCTGATTGATTAACACCATTTTAAAAATAATATTCTTTTATAAATTTGTGGAGATTCTCCTCTCTATGGCAATTTTGGAAAACATTTATAAATTCAAGGAAAACTTTAGCATTTACAAATTTGTATTAACAAATAATTATATTTATGTTTTTAAAATTGTAGTTAATTATGATGATTCAAGTAAGCTTGGTGCCAAAAAATATTTTCTGTTCAAATATATAATAGGAGACTAAATAGGTTTCAATCGAAATATAAATTGACCTACTTTTTTTGTAATATCTGTACAATCTCCTCATTTATGTAAAGAGAAAAGGGGACTGTTTAAATCACATAATTATTATGAACAACTTTTGCCTATTCAAATATATAATAAGCATCTAAAAACGCCAGCCCAAAAATGATTTCCTAAATTAGTAAGGTATTCATTTATATCTATTCCCATTTGGCTTACTCAAAAATTGTGTTTGGTGTGGGTTCAGTGTGAGTGTGGGTTGTGTTTTCGAATGCGCCACTGTTTTGGCAGAGGCAACTCCCGATCGAAGGACGCTTTGAAGGCCAGCATTCGGATGGTGAGCTACTGATTGGATATTACTGGTAAAGGGAACGCTGGCATGGCCATCCACGGCAAAGATTTTCACTTGACTGGCGGGCACAGTGGCGGGGGCAACAAGTGGCTGATTTTCCAGGGCCACAGGACCTGCTATCCTGCCGGCATATGATATGGCCTGCCGTACAGCCTCGTCGTCCAACTTAATGTTCAATGGCGGATAAACCACCCGTCCAGCCTTCTCCTCCACTCCCACATTGAAGGCAATCTTTGTGTCGCCACTTGAGGAATGGGAATTAGAGGTCTGAGTGCTCACATGTCCGGTTACAGCGCCCTTGGTTGTATAGTATGTGTTCATGGCTAGGTTGAGACCAAGTTCGATGCGTTTAGTGGGTGCATTCAGGTAAGTGTTGGTGTTGTGGTGTGTTTTGTCTTGGACCAAGCCAAGGCGGCTGGCCACAGTCTGGGCAATGGAGTCCCGGAAGGGCAACTGCACATTCAGGCCGTAGTCCGTAGAGCCCTCGGGCTTACCTGGTTCAACTGGCGCCAGAGGCTGGGACAGAGTGCGAATCTCCTTCTTTGGGAGGGGACTTCTTCAGGAAACAGCCGGAACAAGCCTCCGTGTTGAAGTTGTACTTGGGCGGAGCCACCGGAAGTGGCAGGGCCTTCGGAGTCGTTGTCGCAGGCAGCGTCTCTGGACAGTGCCAAATATACAAGGTATTTATTTTCAAATTAAACATTAAATTATCGCAAAACGAAAAAGCATTGGTGAACAATTTAACATACGGAATTTAAACATGCCCAAAGTCAATCTGGCTGTTAAAATGCTTATTAAATTATTTTAATCATTTAAAAATGCAACATTCTTAAAATAATGTGAGAATATTATAATAATTTTTAAAAGGATTTGTTTAATATTATAAAAATGTATACACCTTAACTTTGTGATTCCCTCGATTCAGATTATTTTGAATACAAATTCTACTTTATTTTGAAAGTTAAGCTAAAGAAATGCAATTAGGCAACTACATATATGGAAAAGATGTAAACATTTAATTTTGTTATATTTAGATAACTTAAGAACTAAAGTTACCAAACCTTTCTGTTTTAAAAGAATCAATTTTAATAATTTATCTTTAGTTAATTAATTTTATACTATAACTACACAAATGTTTTTAGGAAAATTTTCTCAGATAGAAAGCTTTAAAAGTTTATAGTTAAATTAAAGATTTGGGTATACTCACTCTGGCCGACGGGACCGGCGTAGGGGTAGTTCTTCATGGACAGTATGCGGAACTTGCCCTCCTCGTCGGTGGCATAGACCGTCACATGGTATATTCCATCGGCGGTGATGAACCCAAACTCGCCCATGACAATGCCGCGCTCATCTGTGAATCGGGAAACAAGCTGAGTCGAGATTTGGGCAAACAGATTTTATGTTCATTTTGAATATGAATGTGAATTGTGCGGCGATTTGTGATTTTTAATTCGTTTGATAACCTGCCCGGCCAGGCCCATAAAGATTAAGATCTAATAAACTGTATCGATAATGACGATCATAACTTGTGAGCTGGTTTCTTAAAGCCCCCCCCCTAGCCCGCAATGCCCCCCGCTGCCATTGAATGACACCTGCCTACGCAAGAAACATTCCTATGCTGAGATGAATTTATTAATTTAGATGGCACTGTGGATTGTCTTAAAGAGGTGCGACTCTCACCGAAGCATCCTGTCCAGCCACCCACCAAAAATTCGCATTCGAAATTCTGGCCTGTGGCCTTTGTGTGGCTAAACAGGTTTCCACAAAACTGGGCAACAAGTTTGAACGGCTTGCATCAATTGGCTTTCGCTTGTTTGTTTTATGTTTAATTCGAATATGGCTTCGTGTCACTTTCCCATTTGTCTCGATCGATTTCGGCGGGATTAGGAAAAAAATCTTTATTGAAATTTATTCTTTTGTCGTGATCAATTTGAGTTCAAATTGTTCATCGAGCTGGGCTAAATAATTAAAACTATTAAGCTCGTATCAATAAAAATTAACCAAATCTTTTTCTGGTTATAAATGTGAAGAGTAATAAAATGGGAACAATAAAGTTATCATCTTATTTAGTGGGCTATAAAAATGTTAAGCGATTCTTTTAATATAACTTTTTTAAATCTGTTTGACGCTGCAAGGATTTACAACTCATTAACACAAGTACATTTTTTTGTAAACATATTTATTGTCAATATTGTTAAATAATAAAAAATAATCATCGAAATTTTTTTTTATAAATATTTCTTTGTATATATTTTTTTACCCTGTACTTTGTACAAATAAAAATAAATAAACATACAAAAATAAACTGTCAGCGATTCTATAATTTTATGTCTTTACCATTTTTTGGTCGAAAATTATATTTTTAAAGGAACTAGCTAACATAAAATCAGCTAATTGTTAAATAATAACAATTAAATTAATCCTTTATTGTTTCTGCAATAACAATTTTTCAATAATTTTTCGTGCGATTATAAATATTTATATAATCTATTTTTGGACTGTATTTCTCGAACTTATCTTCCGAATCAGAACTTCTGATCGCCCTGATGATGTAATGCCCCGCAAACTAGACTCCAAAAATGTGATCTTATTGAATAACTCTTAAACATAGTCTTAAATTTCAATAACAATGCTTCAAACTTGCCGAAAAAGATTAAAAAGCTTTGTTAGGACACCTTTTATCTTCCTTTAATCCAGTTAAAGAAATATAATTCTGAATCCACAACAAGTTCCTGAGTTAGTTGAATTATGAACGTTATCCGAATTTCGGCATCAACTCTGGCATTTCATATGCCAAAATTATACTTATAAATATTGAAATGTGGCTGTTCTTTTCGGAATTAGCATTAGCTGAAAAAAGAAAAACCATAAATAAGGCAAACATTTGTGTATTCGGACGCGTCTACATGTTATGCTAATCGGGCGCGTTTCGTTTTCGTTTTTCTGAAAACTTTATCACCGATTCAGCATGGAAATAAAAATCATAACGACCATGCATGGCACTTGGACAATGGACATGGACCACCGGCCAGATGTGTCTGTGAAGATTCCGCTAATTGCCATTGGTGGCTGGTATTTCAATTGCTGGTGACCTGTCGCTCAGGTGCACCCATCAAACGTGTATTGTGTGGCATTGCACAAGCCACTCCGGCTCAAAAGTCAAAAGTTATGGCTTTTTTTGGCTAATGCTGCCGATGCTGCTGCATTTGTGCATTTCGTGCATTAGGTGCATCTGCTCCTAACGACATTCGAGATGACGCATCATCTATTTACATATTTCGGTTTTGGTGTCAATAAATCGACGCACAGTAGGCAAGATATGCTAATGGTATAATTAGCGTCATTAGCCAAACCACTCACCCCTCTTCTCGGCCCGATGCTGCTGCTCGTCGATGGTGAAGCCGAATTTGTAGGGACGCACTGTGGTCGCCGCGGCCAGGACATGGGTCAAGCACAGGAGCAGCAGCTTAAAAGGAACTCCATGAATGCCTGGGTCAAAGCAGGGGTCAAAGCACTTACTGCACTAACGATCGCCACCAATTTTAGGCTCATTTCGTGGCTTAAATTTTATTCAAATTGGTCACAAATTAATTTTATTTTCACGCCCTATTATAAACTGTCAGCGATCACACGAAAAACCATAAATAAGCGGGCGTTTATATTTTAATACCAATATACGATTATAAATATTTGAATTTCAAGCGGACGGAACGACGCGTTTCTCACGGCGAGATTATCGGTTCGGAGCAAGCGTCTCAGAATGAAACACACCCCACGATGTTCGGCTGCGAATTGGCAATGTTAATAATATTAGGTAAACATTATAAAACATTAGAAGCGGACGCGGACCTGCCGCTGCCCGTTGGCCGAGTGTGCGTGCGTATCTGTGTGCTCCGGGCTGTATCTGTATCTGTATCTGTATTGTATTGGCCAAGTTGAATCGTAGAGCTGGTAGCATTGGCCAGATCGCATCACACCTCTTGAGCATCATCCAAGCCTGTACTCATAATTTAAATTTCATGCACTCTGCACAGTTATTTATTTGATTATTTAAACTGCCTGTCAGCCAGTTCTAGAATATTTAGCAATTTGCATCTTCAAAATGTTTAAACAAAAGCTAAATTAGTCTTCGGCTTTGTTAGATAACATTTTTGTCTTCTATTGCTGACTTCCTCAGCATTTTCGATCAGCATTTGTTTATTATTAGCTTAAACTGGATTAGAGTGCGTACAAGAGGTCGTATTTTGAAACATAATTTTTCAATTCATCGATTTTTAACTGATGAAAACAAGTTCGTCCGTAATTATAGGGAGGGTTTTAAGGAACTCTTAAATTTATTTTTGCATGTTTTATTGATTATTTAATTATAGCCATCCCTTTATAATATTTCTAGGTTAAGGTATATCATTTAGTTTAATTTTATTTTCTTATCAACGTTAGGGTATTTAATTGTAGGACATCTATAAGTAATCTAGATTTAACGAACGATTTGTTAATGTCTTTTAAATATTTTATTGGAAATCAATATTTAATATTTCAAGGTTAAGGTATAATGAAGCTATCATAAATTCTTATATGCCTACAGCAATCAAAGTCTTAATTTAGTTTAATTTAATTTTCTTATCAACGTTAGGGTATTTAATTGTTTGTAGGACATCTATAGGTAATCTAGATTTAAGGAACGATTTGTCAATGTCTTTTAAATATATTATTGGAAATCAAATCCTTTTATAATATTTGAAGGTTAAGGTATAAATGAAGCTATCATAAATTCTTGTATGCCTACAGCAATCAAAGTCTTGATTTAGTTTAATTTAATTTTCTTATCGACGTTAGGGTATTTCATTATTTGTGGGTAATCTATAAGTAATCTAGAACGATTTGTTAATTTCTTTTTAATATTTTATTGGAAAACATATCATATCATATTTTCAGCTACTGACTATAGTTAACGTTTTTTTGCCGTTTATTATTTAACATTGTTATCAGTACACAACTTTTAATTTAGTGACAATTTTATCAAATCCTATCAAATGCAAAACTTGCGAATAGGGCTTGAAGGTTATTATTTCTATTGTCTATTTGTTCATAATTAAACGAATCCGATGTATTTGTCATCAAACTTGTTGAGTTTAATTAGTGTCCAGGCATTTGACCTGCTTGATGAGCAAATCCGAATGCAATGAGGAAGATGATTGCACTTTGTTATTCTCATTATCGATCGACAATCAGCATGTCTGTGGCTTCTGCCGGATACTAGCAGCCAATTGTAATTGAAATATTGCTGTCAGGTTCGGCAATGACTGATGTTGTATGTTCAAATTTGCATATTAATTGCAATAACTGTTGTCTTTGAGTACGAGCATAAATGATGCGAGTCTATCCAAACGTGTCACGAAGAATGAGAAATTAGCGTTTGGCACCAAAAGTATGCAAAAGTAAAATTCAAGTTCATTGTCCAAGTCATTCGTTTTATTTCTGCATTAATCACGAAGCCCGAAAGTCAACTAAATGTTATTCGTTGTTTTTGCTTCCCAAAAGACGGCAATATATATAACCAGTACACAAGTTTTGACTTTAAGATTGTCTCAAACCCTGAGAAGTTTCTCAAGGTCGAACATATGGTGACATAAACTTTAACTTCAAATATAGCAAAAAATCTTAGACATTAAAAAATATTATTATGCAGATATACAAAAACAAATGATTTGATATAAACAATACCATTGGTATGATTCGTAAGACATTTGCTAATTAAATTTTTATTGATAACTCAATTTATCTTATTAGACTTAAAAATATCGATTACTAAGACAGCATAATATCAGTCTTTTAGCGATGTTCTAGATGTATATTCATTTAAAAAATGTATTTTCTTGAAGTATTATAATTAAAACTAATTATAGAAACCATCTGTTCTTTAGATTCCTTCCAATATTTTACTACTGCTATTTAAAATCTAAACCTGACATAACCTTTAATTAATCATAATCATTGTCAATTACTTTGGCATTCTATTCAAAATATTTAATTCATTGGCGCTTGAAGAAATTTTGGTTTTACAAAACACCAACAGCGTGTTTCCTAGATGTTTAATTTAACCTTAAAATCATCATAATTTTCCTAATAATTTTTCGTTTCTATTTAGAAACATATTGCATTGGCCATTAAAAGTCAATTTTTAACCATTTTGCTTTAAAAGGCCGACAGTCTGTTCGCTGAACGTTTTAAGAATTCTTGCCCTTTTCAAATAAAACCAATTCATATAAATTCTTCATTTTTAATATTCAACAAATTGCGTTCTGTGACTTAGAAACATTTCCCTTCAAAAAGAAAGGGAAACCGGAAGTAGGAAATTGGGGAAAATAACAAGGAATTGTGTAGGACTGATTGGCTTTAAAGCTGCTTTGGATGAAAGCAACTCCACTTAGGCCTCGGGGGCAACGGGCAGATGGGCACCCTGGGGCTGGAATCCGTTCTCATCGGCGATGTAGTTGACGGTGTAAGTTTGACCATCATCGGCCACGAAGGAGAAAGAGCCCCGGACAGCAAGGGACTCATTTTCGCTTCCAACGTTCCTCAGCTCTCCCGCGGCGTTAGCCTTCTGGCCATCGCTAGTCTCCCAGCTAATTATGAAGTCAAACTCAGTTAGTCATCCTTTTGAAGCACCTCTTAAATAACTTACTCGTATTTGAAGTTCTCAGGTCCAACATCGGATTCCGATCGCAGGACTTGAACCTCAGAAGCAGGAGCGGCCAGAGCCACGGCGAAGAGGGCGACGAAGACAATCAGGAATTTCATGATGATTCTTGGTTGGTGTTTTGATCTGTGGCTATCGAACAGTTCACGACGAATGGTAACATGGATATCCGTGTAAGCCCTTTTATAGATGGCAAACTGTTGGCGATTATTCAAAACGCGGCCGAACTAGTCAAACGAGTACAAGACATAATCAGCAAAGTCAATGCTAATGTGAAAAGTCTGGTTTGGGTTTCGTTTTCGTTTGGAGTTGAAGCATTAAAAGGCCTAATATGAAATTTAAATAACACAATAGGCTGAAAAGAATCGCGGTCATAAATATTTATTTATTCATATAGTGTGCTAGTATTATGTTTCTATAAATTCGCCCAAAGTCAGTGACGTCAATACAAATCTGTAGCTTCCTTAAGGTTTTTAAATTTATTATATTTTATTCCTAAAATTTTTTTATGCTTTTACATTGGATAACTAAAGCAAATTAATTGGGAATATTCAGCTGAATTGGAATTCCAGACATAGGCTAGGCCACCAGCCTGAACTTGGGATGGTAACCAGTCTCGTCGGCCGTGAAGCTAATCTCGTACTTCTTGCCATCTGGAGCTGACCAGCTGGTGGAGCCCTGGACAGAAAGGGAGCCGTCCTCTTCGCCGGCACCTGGCTTCACCTCGCCAGTCTCCGTGCGCGAGATCCCATTGCTCGTCTCATAGCTGCAATCGAAAATTAAATCGGTTAGTTTGCCAATGGCATGTAGGCCAAGGTTTTGTAAAATATTACTCAAAACAAAAACCCTTACAGAAACTAAGTTTTGCTATTAGTTAATTGTTTTATTCATTTACATTATCACACTTTTGATATGAACTTTCTAAGCATTTCTGTTCTGGAAAAATAAGGGTATTCCTGATCAGTATCACCATAGTTACTCCACAATTCAATCGGCACCATTTTGGATAAGACGATTATAAACTATATTAACTTAACTGTGTGGCTTATGACAACATTTAATTTATTTTTTCTGATAAAATTAAGATAGTTTCCAAAGATATTTGCATTTGAATCGATATAAATAAACTTCGCCTTTTTTATTTCAATCACTCTTTTTGGTTAGAACTGATGGTACTACAATTTATAGAGATTTATCTCAAAATAAATGGGCAATACCCACGCAAAGGAATATTTGTCGCCGGTGTTCTCGCTCTCCAGTTTGAGGGTCTCCGCCTGGGCATCCTCCCCAGCGGGCAAGGCCAGAGAAACCCCAACTGCCATCAAAGCAACTAGCCATACGAAACTCGATTGCATCGCGGGAACAATTTGTTTTCACTGTCTCCGTCACACTAAGCTGCACTTTACTACGCTGCGATGCGATCGAATGTTGCCCTTTTATACGGAACCTCTGGATTATGTCCTCATCGGCGAAAAATGCAAAATAATAAAAACAAATGAAATATAAAGAAATCAGCTATAATGGAATTACTCAATAAAACACATTTTAATTACAGATTAACTCTCCAAATACCCTGGACTAATCGTGCCTGCAGGTATACCCAGTGTGAGGTAATGTATGCAATTACCTTGTCCACAACCATTTGATGGACAGAATGACGCCCCACCTCGCCACCAAGCCTAAGGTTTTATTCTTATTGCTTATACTTAAAACTCGTGGCTTATAATCATGTATAACATTGTTGTAATTAAGATAGATTTTTCTATTCAAGTAGCAATCTAAACTGGTCCCTCAATAAAATACCAACTGCTTTAGGAGATGTCTTCTAGTCGAGATTCATTAACCCAATGTTCTAACTTTTTGCCATTGTGCATTGTGATTTTGCCATTGTCATTTCTCATATTATCATCAATCGAATAAATATGTACAGACCCACACCAATGTATGTATATACTTAAAAACATCAATTATTAATAGAAAATATCAATCACATATCTATAAGCACAGACTTGATTAATAATTCAACACAAATTCAATATTTAAAAGCATGGTAATTATAAAGTCTTTAAGCCAATTAAATTTTAGAAAACTGTGAAAAAATGATCACGGAATCGGGACAGATCTTTGCTGAATTTCCGTGTTATATCTTTTAGTATATAGTGTAACTTCAGCATGGAATTTTTTTCTTCCGTTAATATATGGGTATTAAGTTCCTTAATAAAAATAGATAATAAATTATAATTGCTATTTAAACACAAATAACTTCTGGTAACTATTTTTTCATTTATTATTTAACAAGTTGTGTTTGTTGACTTAGTTTTCATCCTTTAAAAATAAGGACAAGATCGGGTTGACAAAGTTCGGAATTATTAACAAGGTGTTGAATAGAAATGGTTTAAGCCTCGGGGGCAACGGGCAGATGGGCACCCTGGGGCTGGAATCCGTTCTCATCGGCGATGTAGTTGACCTCGTAGGTGACACCATCATCGCCCACAAAGCGGTAGGAGCCCGTGACAGAAATGGCCTCGTTTTCGCTTCCAATGTTCTTCAGCAGTCCCGCGGCTTGAGCCGCCTGGCCATCGCTAGTCTCCCAGCTAATTATGAAGTCAAACTCAGTTAGTCATCCTTTTGAAGCAGCTCTTAAATAACTCACTCGTATTTGAAGCTCTCAGGTCCAACATCGGATTCCGATCGCAGGATTTGAGTCTCCTGGCCAGCAGGAGCGGCCAGAGCCACGGCGAAGAGGGCGACGAAGACAATCAGGAATTTCATGATGATTCTTGGTTGGTGTTTTGATCTGCGGTTATCGAACAGTTCGCGACGAATGATGCTGTCTGATGGCGGGGTAACCCTTTATATAGATAGATGGCCAAAATTTGTCGACCGAGCGCAAAGCGGCCAAACTAGTAAAACGTGTAGTGTATAAAGCATAATGTAACAAATGTGTGAAATGGATTTCGGCCTACAGATGAATCGTTAAATACCTAATACGATAATATGTAAATCGACAATCTTCTAAATAGTTTTTGGCATTCGCTTAAGCGCTCTTTTCTGTGAGAGAAGACTTAGTAGCTGTCGATCTGGAATTCGAAATCGCTTAGAGATCGCTTGTCAAGTAAACTGTAGCATTCGATTGCAGATGATGCTCTCTGTTGTAAACTATTTAAATAGGGTTTCAAAATTATATTTATTTTTATGTTAATAATTAAATATAAATTATATTCATATATGAATAAGGCATCCTTTTAAAGCAGGTCTCAATCAACTTACGCATATTTGAAGCTGTTATGTCCAACATCGCGAGCTAATCGCGATGTTCCGGCCAGAGCCGCGGTGAAGATGGCGACGAAGACAATTAGGAATTTCATGGTGATTCTTGGTTGGTGTTTTGGTGCGATTTTCGAACAGCTCGCGACAATTGATGCTGATGATGGCGAGGTAACCCTTTATATAGAAGATGGCCAACAGTTGTCGACTAAACTATAAAATTACTTGTAAACTATATAATTACGGATTGGTTTAAAATTATTTGAAGAAAAAAGTATAAATTATTTACATTTACACTAGCAGAGTATATTGATTTAAATTCATAAATAGGTTGCTTATAAAATAAATCAAACTTTGATGATTTACACTGCTACTTTCAGTAGCAGTTTAGTATAAAAGTCGAAGTAAATAAATTTATTCATAAGGCCCATGTGTTACAATGCTAATGAGCTATCAGCAAGACATATTAATCGATAGTAGGCTTGGAAGTGTCGTGATATTCTATGTTAATAACTTATTTTCAGTTCTGGTGTAATTCAAATACATTAACAAACCGTTTAGATGTGAGGCTTGCGTTGGGAGAGCATATCAAAAGAGGTAACTAAAGATTATGATTTTTAAACCCTTGGAGAGGGTATTATAATTTTGCGATTTTCTATTGGTTTTATTTTTGGCCAACCAATCCGACCTACCAAATTTCACATGGATCGGCCGACTATATCCTACAGCTGCACTATAAATGAATGATTGGAAATGCCATAACTTTGGTGTTTTTAAAGTTAGGAAGTTGGGATTTTTATGAGTATTAAGAATGCATAATATGAATAATTTTGGAGAATATAATTTACAGAATATTCTGCAAGGGTATATCAACTTTGGCTCCGCCAGAAGTTAGCTTTCCTTTCTTGTTTTAATAAGTCTTTGTAGCAGAAAAAACATAAAAACACATAAAAAACTGATTTTGATTCATAGATTGCGTGTTCTCATTATTAAGTAATGTTAAGATTGTACTTTAATTTTTAAGTAAATCAACCAGACTAAATCAGACTAAAATCGTATTGTTCTAATGTGTAACCTGATCATATTGAAAGGATTTTACAATTTTGGCTGGCCGAAATTAGCTTACATCTGCGTTAAATAACAAACAAATCGAAGATGTGGTAAAGATTATCAATATGGCATGGCGAACATTAACTGAGATTGAGTTCAGTTTCTCTTGAAATTGAATGGAAAACATGTTTTGGCATATATGTAGCTCTGACGATATTAAAAATATATATACTTTATGGGGACAGAAACATTAGACCGAAAAAATTTCCGATTCCGACATCAATGAAATCCTTATCGAATTAGTTGTGTAATTTTCATTGCGACGACAATGATTTACAATGATTTACAGTTATATATATCCTCATAAATTTTGATACCCACGGGACGTACGTAACCTTAATGCAAAAATCTTTAAACAAATATTTTAGGTATTCATTTTTTATTTTGAGGAATCTAAACGATATTAACAAGGAACTGGGTAATCCACTTTGAGTGACTTAGGCCTCGGGGGCAACGGGCAGATGGGCACCCTGGGGCTGGAATCCGTTCTCATCGGCGATGTAGGTGACCTCGTAGGTGACACCATCATCGCCCACAAAGCGGTAGGAGCCCCGGACAGCAAGGGCCTCGTTCTCGCTTCCAACGTTCTTCAGCTCTCCCGCGGCTTGAGCCGCCTGGCCATCGCTAGTCTCCCAGCTAATTATGAAGTCAAACTCAGTTAGTCATCCTTTTGAAGCAGCTCTTAAATAACTCACTCGTATTTGAAGCTCTCAGGTCCAACATCGGATTCCGATCGCAGGATTTCGGCCTCCTGACCAGCAGGAGCGGCCAGAGCCACGGCGAAGAGGGCGACGAAGACAATCAGGAATTTCATGGTGATTCTTGGTTGGTGTTTTGATCTGCGGTTATCGAACAGTTCGCGACGAATGATGCTCTCTGTTGGCTGGGTCGCCCTTTAAATAGTTGGACAACCTCTAGCGACTATGTTAAACGCATTCAAATTAGTCAAAGCGTAATGTGATAAATGTGCGATATTGATTTCAGGTTCAAGCTGAATGGTTAAAAGGCCCAATACGAAATGCAAATTAACCATCCTCAACCAAGTTGGTCTCATTCGCCTCACTATGTGGTTTTAGTAGTTTATAGTAGTTTATATCGATAGATCGAAATCTTTTCATTTGAAAATTGAAATCTATTCTTAGTGTAATTAAATAAAATTGCTATTAAACTAAGTAAATTAATTAAAATTATTTTAATATTATATCTAAAATTTTTATAAAGACCAAAGCCTTTAATGATTTGAATTAAACTGGAATCGTAAGACCGACCAAATACCATAAATTAACATTGAAACCACCTCTTGCTATACTTGACATGACTTAAGTATATTTATTTTGTTTATAAACTTGAATTACTTAACTTAATAAATTTTAAAACTTTGTCATGTCAGTTTTATAAATTAAAAAGTTTTCGTTGAAATTCAATCAATAGTTTGGGCTAGCAGTTTTTACTTGAAGAAATACAATTAGTTACTCAATGAAATGTTATTTATAGATTGGTTTAAACTTTATATAAACAACATTACACAATATTAATCTATTTATGCTTGAATGCAATAAAATATACAGTTTTCACTTTAGATTCTGCAAAAAATACAATGTTATTTATAGATTGTTTTAAACTTTATATAAACAACATTACACAATATTAATCTATTTATGCTTGAATGCAATAAAATATACAGTTTTCACTTTAGATGTGAAATGTTTTGATGTGAAAGGACTTAAACATTTGAAGTATTTGATTTGGTTTGTAACAACTAAATCCCTTACGCCATTTTAAATTTACGTTTTACGCACTTTTTGAACAAGTAAGAGGTAGTCTCAACAAAATAATTGAAATACCATATGGTAATAAAATACGCCAAATACTATATGGTGTTATTTCTACCTGTTTAAGACTTTTCCACAGTATCTGGATTTATAAAAATTTCATTATGTCCATTATTTTTATACCCGTTACTCGTAGAGTAAAAGGGTATATTGTATTCGTGCAAAAGTATGTAACAGGTAGAAGGAAGCGTTTCCGACCCTATAAAGTATATATATTCTTGTTCAGGATCACTAGCCGAGTCGATCTAGCCATGTCCGTCTGTCCGTCTGTCCGTCTGTCTGTCCGTCTGTCCGTCTGTCCGTCTGTCTGTCCGTATGAACGCTGAGATCTCGGAAACTATAAAAGCTAGAAGATTGGCATTTTGCATGTAGATTTTAGGAGTTCCTACGCAGCGCAAGTTTGTTTCAAAATGGTGCCACGCCCCCTCTGACGCCCACAAGCCACAAGCTGTGGCCACAGTTTTGATGCTATTATGAAAATTTTAATTGATATGTATTTGTTTCGTCAATACCTATCGATTGGCCTAATTAAAGTTTGCCACGCCCACTCTAACGCCCAAAAACCCATTAAACGCTTAAGCCTGGCTAGCGCCTACATTTCCGCCTTTCATGGCGCCATCTAACGGATGACTTTGGAACAGCTGGCCAAGGTGCTCAACAGAGTCAACGTTAATTTTCGATAAGGATTTATATTAAAGGAAATTGCGATGGTTTTCATTTGTCAATACCGAACTATATCCCAAGAACTACGCAAATCAAATCAAGTTAGCCAAATTGGAGGTCTGAGTCAAACAATGACGTATGTGTGTATGTATGTAAGCATATACATATGTATGTATTTACATTGTACACAGTTGCAATTGTTTAGCTGAGTAACGGGTATCTAATAGTCGAGGCACTCGACTATAGCGTTCTTTCTTGTTATTTTAGAATCGCTTCAATACCGAAAGAATTAAAAGAAAATTACGACATTTGTGTCGCCCTTACTTTAAAATAGATTTTAAACTGGAAAATCATCTGGAAATTATCTGTAAACAATTTAACTTTTAGCTTACCGTAAGGCCGAGAAAATTTCTACGAATTGAAGTCACACAGTTTTTTTACATATGTTTTTTTATACCCTTGCAGAGAGTATTATAATTTCAGTCAAAAGTTTGCAACGCAGTGAAGGAGACATTTCCGACCCTATAAAGTATATATATTCTTGATCAGCATCACCAGGAGAGTCGATCTAGCCATGTCCGTCTGTCCGTCTGTCCGTCCGTCTGTCCGTCCGTCTGTCCGTCTGTCCGTCTGTCCGTCTGTCCGTCCGTTTCTACGCAAACTAGTCCCTCAGTTTTAAAGCTATCTGCTTGAAACTTTCCCAAAAGTTGTATTTCTATTGCAGGTAGTATATAAGTCGGAACGAGCCGGATCGGGCCACTATATCATATAGCTGCCATATAACTGAACGATCGGAAAAGCCATAACTTTGGTGTTTTTAAAGTTAGGAAGTTGGGATTTTCTATGGGTTTTATTTTTGGCTAATCAATCCGACCTACCAAATTTCATAAGGATCTGACGACTATATCCTATAGCCGCCATATAACTGATTGATCGGAAAAGCCATAACTTT